AAAAAAAAACAAAAAATTTTTTTTTAAACTTTAATGCAATACGCATCGTGTAGCATACGGAATTTGAACAAAAAATTTTTTTCGATAAATGGGAGCAGTTTGAAAATTTTGTGTTGTTTTTAGCCCTGAATTTGTTATTTAAAACATTCATAAAAGTTGTAAAACTTAATATATCAAAAAATCCGTATGCTACACGATAGATAATATCGTAAAGAAGATACCATATAAATTTCAAATTAATCGGTTGGATAGTTTCCGAGATAATCGTGACACCGTTTCAAAAAATACAGTTTCGAGTAAAACGGAAAATAAAATAAAATTGTATTAAAACCTTAAAAATCGATTTTTTTTTTGCTTTACCTTTTTAGTCCGTAATTCCAGGGCCATACACGACTCCTTCAATGGCGGCAGTAATGTCCGCTGACTCTTTTTGAGCAGCTCTTCTTAGTTTTCGGGCATTTTTTGTGGCTTCTTGGGCTCGGATATCGGCGATAGTTATGCGAGCCTTGTCTTGTTCTTCGCACATTCGTTGCGCGTTCGGTCCAATTTTTAAATTTAACTGTTGCATGATTAATAAAACATTTTCGTAACCATCGTTGAATACGCTGCATGCAATATACGTTGCAATTTCGACGATTTTTGCACCGCTGGAAGTAACTTTTGGTGCCATTGACCAAATAACTGAATTCACGCTCTCATTGTTGTTCTGCGTGAATCCACCTAAACAACGCTCCAACAAATCATCATTGCTTAAGGTTTCATAAATTGGTTTAATTGCATCTTGAACGTCAGTTGAAAGAGGAGATGCATGGTTGTAATTTTTCAAAGATCCAGAAGCCTTTGCCTTTTGCCAGGTACACCAGGAGTCTTCACCGGAAGGACACAGATGATGCTGTGGTTTATCGTTGGTTGAAATTTTGTGTAAAAATGTTGCCCAAATAGCATTTTTCATTTCTCCTTTCGACTCACTGTGTCTTCTAATAGCAAGACCATAATAAACAGTCAGTTCGTCAATCAGTTTGGCAGTTAGTTTGCCCCTGCCACCAAGGCCTTTCTTATCTTTTTTTACTTTACGCAAATGTGTTCCCATGCGTTTTTGGACATGTCCAATACATTCCTTTTTCTTTATTTCGGTATCACCATACGGTTTCGAGTTCACCACACTTTTATAAGTCTTAGAGGCGAAGCGGCAGTGACTACCTGCGACCCTCTGTCCGAAATCCGCTCGGTCACGCTGCCACCGTAACGCGCATAACTTTCTCTATATTTGAAATATTTTTACCGGTCCAATCTTAAAATGTTCCTGACATTTCAGGCTTCAAAATAATGCAAAAAAAAACAAAATCCATTTTTTGAAAATTTCAGGGTGGCGTAACCCCTTAATACTTCTACAAATATAGGATCACCCGTATAATCCGGCGGTAACACCTGAATTCGAGCTGCATGTTTGACCACTCCGGAGACAGTGGCGCCGATCCCGGAAATCGACGCCGAACACTCCGATCGAGGTACCCGCAATAGTTGGGAGCCCCTTTCGGAAAGTAACGAACACTCCGATCCCGAATCAATTATGGCTCGTAAACATTGTTCGTTTCCCGCAGTTGTGCGCACTCGCACCCACGCAGTAGCAATTAGAGCGGCTCTATTTAATTGAGAATTCAAGCAACCCGAATGCGCGGTAGAGAATGTAGGTGCATTGGGATTTAATTTAGGAGTCATCACTGAACTGCACTCAGGTGCAGTTTTATCTATTAGATTATTGCGAGCATCCAATTGCGGCTGCGCAAGTGCTTCATGTAACAATGAATTATGCCTCTTCTTACAATTAGTACAGCTACTTCTACGCTTGCAGGTCGACGGAATGTGACCTTTACTAAGGCAATTGAAGCAAAGACGTTGCGATTTAACGA